GGGTGGGGTGGGGGTGGGGTCAGTGCAGGCATTGGAATAGACTCAATGGCAACTGGTTTGGTGGGTTTTATATCTTAAAAATATTTTCTTCCAGTACTGTATAGTGGAAAACATTTTTGGAATAACATAGTTGCAGTTAAGTGCTGTTGAGTAGGTTCTGACTCATAGCAACCCTGTATAGGGTTTCCAAGGAGCAGCTAGTGAGCTTGAACCGTTGGCCTTACAGTTCAAACCGACTTTGCAGTCTAGTGCATTAACCCAGAGCACTACACAGACCTGAATTCAAATCCAGGTTCCTCTATTCCTGGATGTGTGACTTTGAACAAGTCAATCACCTCTCTGAGCCTTTGTTTCTTCAAACAGGGAGAGTAATTTTGACCTCAATGATTTATTAATTCAACAAATCTTTATTGAATGCTAGCTATGTGCCAGGAACTGAATAAACAGCAGGAAAAAGACTAAAGCTTTTTCACAGAGCAGCCATTCTGTGGGAAAGGCACACTAAACCAGAAGGTGTGTGTATGTTAGGGAGGATACTGGGAGTCCGAAAGAGCATACAGATGTACCACTAAGTTATCCATTAATTTTCAAAAGCATAGCTGTATCAATCTGACAACTGTAGTACTGAGAATCAAGCACACTTGTATTATCAGGGGGGATAAAGCAAGCTGGAAAAATACATGCAGTCTATCTGGGTTCTACACTCCAAGAGGGAGAGACGTCAGGGACATTCCTCTACTGGCCCCTAAGGTTGAGAACAAAGCCTGGTATCTACTAGAGGCTCAAAGAAGAAAGGAACGGAGAGAGACAGCAGTTGGCTCTGCTGAGGACCCTCAGTGTTATATTATCCTGTTTGCTCCTGAGGACTGTGTGGGAACTCCCACCACCCCTTTTCAGATACCCAGTAACTCTCCTCCTCCAAGCAGGCAACTCAAATTCCTGACTATAGACACCTGTCAAATGGGCTCACCAGGGGGCAATGTTCCAATCAACTAACCTTCAGAAGCAACTTTGCCTTCTTCTTATGCTCATCCTGCTTAGGGCCTTAGATTAGATATTAAAATGGAGGGTGCTGTTTTTTGTATGTAGTAACATAATATTACACAGAAAAACACTGAAAAATTAGCTAAGGCTGACAGAACTCCCTTCTCCCCAGTTTCCCTTCTGCACAGAAAGCCTCGGCCTGAGAGCATTATAGTATCCTTCCTGCTCCATCACACAGACAGCAAACCCCACATCCACCATGCTCCCCATTTTGCTCTTGGCACATAACAATGTACTGTGGAGCTTATTCCACATCAGTACATAGGAAATGCCTCATTCTTTTAAGGAATACTGCAGTGGCTCTGGCCACTCCTCAGAAACACTGTACAGGGTCTCTATGACTCGACGGCACTTAACAACAGCCACTGTGTATGAAAGACAGCAGGCTTGTCTGTCTACTTGAACACTTCTCTACCTCTGTGTTTCAGTGCCTTAACTAGGGTGACAACTCTTCAAATCTTGGAGTCTGAGCTAGAAACAGAGGTTTCAGTTCTGCAATCTGTCCTGAGCAAACCATCTATCCTTGGGGCACACATGTGCCTGGAAGTCAGAAAGTCAAATCAGCTCATTTCTCCAGACTGTAGTTTCATCTAAAAATAAGGGAGAGGATACTTTAGCTGGTGTTCTAAAAGTTCCCTTCTAATGTCAAAGTCACTTTGTCTCTCAGCCATCTAAGATACAATTATTGGTCCACTCATTAGTCAAAGTGCTTCTTGGAGGCCAGGATGGCCAGACTTCATCATTCATACTTCAGGCATATTGTCAGGAGGGACCAGACACTGGAGAAGGATATCATGTTTGGTAAAGTGGAGGATTGGAGAAGAAGAGGAAGACCCCCAATGAGATGGATTGGCACAGTGGCAGCAGCATCATGTGGCTCAAGTGTAGCTACGATTGTGAGGCTGGCCCAGGACTGACCATTGTCTCGTTCTGTTGTATGTAGGGTCACTATGAGTCGGTACTGACTCAATGGCATCTAACAACACCAACAACTCATCAGGAGCAAAAGAATAAGAAGGTAACTGAAATCTCAGAGAAGAAATAATTCTACAAAACTGATAGCCTATATGAGCCAAGACCTCATCTACCCTGATACCAGAAGAAATAGATGGTGCTCAGCTATCACCACCGACTGTTCTAACCTCGATCACAATACGTGGCCCCAGATAGAATGGGATAAAAATGCAGAGCAAAACGCAAAAAAAAAA